GAGTTCAGATAAAAGTTCAGATACAAAAGCTTAGATCACTTCAACATTTCAAAACACTGCATTCAAGACCACAAGATGCTACCGAATGCTACCTGCTAGCCTTCAATGCTAATAGCTCTGCATAGGCTTCAATGCAAACTCATTAGCTTCAGTTAGCTTAGCTCATGCTAGGCTATTTGTTTACAACAGCTCAAAAATGGTGCCGGCGGGCTGCGCTTGCGCACATGAAGGTTATCCCAGAAAAAGTCTCTGAGAACTTCCTGGGTTACGGCTGTTGCTATGGTGACATACACAGCCTAAGCGAGCATGTGAGCTTAAACACAGTTACGTGCAGTCAGTGAAACGTCAGCGCATTTCACTCTGAACCACCAAAAGCACTATTTAGATTCTTATCTTTTCTTATAGTGCTGACCAATCTGAATTCACTCACTTAGAGCGAGGTAAATTAATCTACAGATTAATTATTAATACAACAGCGTTATTGAGGCCTCGACGGACCTAAGCACTTTGTTAGTCTATTTGACAGACAAAAACACATGTGGATTTTTACTTACACTTGATCAAGATTCAATTCTCCCATAAACAATGTTAGGACACTCTCTTTGAGCACCGCGTCTCAAGTTCACTAGTTTTAGTGAATTAAATGGCCACAAGCATTAGTTAGCTACTCTAAGCTCGGTACACGGGGAGATTTAATAGCATAGATGAATTTGGAAGTGGAACACGCACCAACAAATCAAGCTATGAGGCCTTATAAAAGAAGAAAATGAGGAATCCGCTCACTTCTCTCTTCGTGCGCCTTTTAAAGCGACTTAATCTGTTTTAGCAGACAACATTTAGATGTTAATTATTTACTGCAGTTCACTTCTTTAAACAACAACTCGCATTGCACTTCATTCATCCAAAACGCTCTGCCATGCCATAATAACAGGTACAATAACACACAAAACTCTGTTCCAAAAACACAAAATGACATGGTGTTATGAATTTTTAAGTCCAATTTGCCCGCTGTTTTTCTCCACCATAATATATAATAACTTTAAGGATTTAGCTTTTATTTCAGCTTTTAGGGAATC